ATAGAATTTTCACAATTCTTTGATGACTGATGAGTTATTAAGGCAAATGACAAGTTCTCATAAAGAACTCATAAGAAGTTAATTTTTCTTGTTAAAATGACAGAATTTTCACAATTCTTTGGTGAATGATGAGTTTACTAAGACAAATGACAAGTTCTGATAACCCAATCATAGGAACGTAATTTCCTGTGCTCAAATGACACAATGTCCATAATTCTTTGGCGAATGACAAGTTTAGTAAGGCATATGACAAGTTTTGATAACCCAATAATAGAAACTTAATTTTCTGTGTTCAAATGACTAACATGAGAAGCAACTCATGTAAAATAATATTTCTGTCACATCGTTTCTTATTAACAGGACAACATTCAATAGCTCTACATTATTACAATATAGAACTTATTAACATAAAATTTAACATTGATTTGCACAATATCAAATGACTATCATTATTAGATTGTTGGTGTCATAATAGTTACGACAATGGTAAGCCAAAAAACAAAATGTTTCATATGTCCTTTGACAACAATCATTTTTTTACAAAAAATTAGATTATCATGTCATGTTAGTATCATAATAGTTAAAAGTCTGCATTAACAATACTGGCAAGCAAAATTACAATAATGGTAGGCCAAATAACAAAAAATCAGATGATGTGCTTTGACAGCAACTAGGTTTTTTACAATATTCAATGACAGTGCACATTAACATGATCAATCTACCTAATGTTCCATTATCACCAAACATAGTACTAACAAAAATATATGTGCACATCTACCAACACCTTTCTTCTAAAAAAATTAAGAGTAGAGCCTATATACACCAAAAAATTAGTTGTCCCATATGTAAATTAAGTTCAAGATAGGTTAAAGTTTCTGCACGTCCATCTTGTGTGTCCAGATTGGTGACATCTGGTGAAATGGTAGACTTTTTTGTTCTAGAATTATGATTCTCATCGTATAGTCCTTGGTCTTCTGGGAGGCCTAGTTGTGTTTGGTAGTAAAAACAAGGTTTGTTCAGTAAGATTCTCAAACCTATAGTTATCTGGTCTAGGCATATCGATTGTCATCACTAGAACCATGCTCCTAGCATAAATTTTCTTCTGTGTTGAAATTTTGTAACACTCTTTAACATATTCATATACATTTGCCCCTATAGTCTTAATGGTTGCATAAGTATGGCAACAGAGAATTCCTAACATTTTCCAGCCAAGACAACTATATTAGTGTAGACTAAGGTCTACTCTTTGGTGTCTATAGGATGTAGGTACACATAGTCCTCCACCTCCATAATTGTCACAACTTATATAACTACTGAAATACACATTCTCCACAACCTTTGCCTCAATTTTTGGCCCAACATAATTCCTCCACTTAGTCATTGCCACATATGATGGATGCATCTTCCTTGTTACTTTCTCTTAATGTTCATAAATCATTTGGGCCACATTATGTTTTTCTCTTTCACCATCCAAGCATTGAAAGACTGAGCTAAATTAGTTGTTTAATTGTCCCATCTTTTAAATGGAAACTTGTGCATTATCCAACTATTCACATCACCTTGATTGATAACCCAATCATGTAACTCGAGAGACAAAGTTCTCAACTTTGCCATTGCATGATCAAACTCACTATCAATCTTTACATAAGCCACTATATTAAGTACCTTTAATGCATCTTCTTTTAAATATTAAGTTGTCATTTTACCTCTGTTTACTTTCGCTTGTTTAGCACTGAAGTCTTCCTTCACATGCCTATAACAGTATGCATGCCTTTCACCCTCCAAATATTGCTTGGACAACTCCTATTATAAAATTATGTCAATCTAACACAATTGTCTAATGCACCGAACCAACAATTTTTTTAGTTTCGTACAAAAACCAAGTCCAATCATCAAGATGTTCTAATTTTACCATTGTTATTGCAAAAAGCAACAAGCCATTATCTGTATCATATCTCGAAGCTGAGAATAGTGTCCCCTTATATTGTCCACTTAAATGACTTCTATTAACATATAATATAGCCCTCACACCACCCAAAAAAACCCTTAATACACGAATCGTATATAATGAAAATACACTTAAATGTATTACTAATGGCTACCCATTCAACAACTGTTTTATCATCACTTTCCTTCAATCTTTGACATGTCCATGGTATGATCATATAGGATTCTTTCGGTTTTTCATGTATGTAATGCTTGCCTTTTCCTTTGCTCTATAACCTTGACAATATGTTAACCTCACACCATACTCTCTTTCCAATGTCTTTTTTATTTCAGTAGGATGCTTTTTCACATGGTTCCTTATTTTTTCAAGTATTAGTGATAACGTCAAAGTAACACTCCACCATAAGTGACATCTAGATTGTTTTGTGTTAAATGAATGTGTTCATTACAGAATGTGGTGATGCGTAATAAAGAAGTATCCCTCTCAACAGCATTTGCATATATCTTCCAATAACACCCTTCTATTTTACACCTCACATTCATCTTTTCCTTACTATTTCGTTGCAAAATTCTGTGCAATACTAAACATGTATGCAACTTGCCTAAAAGTTTAGGCATGTGGAATATATTACCCCACTCCTACAAAAACTCCAACCCATTTTATGCAATTCAAATTACCCCTCAATGTCCCTTCACTTTTTGAACTGTCACACAAGTTTCTTTGACTTGAACCCCCTCCTTCATATGTTAGGCATTTACCACCATTGTCAATACTAACTGGCTCATAGTTATAACCAAAGTTCACAGCACCTTCAGTCATTTCTTCTGATAGCCCAAACAAATTCTCAATCCTACAAGCATAATAACATGATTTGAATGGGAATTGGCAACAACTTATTAGGAAATAACAAATTTCTACTATAATAGACTAAACATAATAACAAGATTTGATTGGGAATTAACAACAATTCATTAATAAATAATAAGTTTCTACTGCAACAGACTAAGTATAATAACAAGATTTGTATAGGAAATAACAACTTATTATCAAATTACAACTTCCAACTGCAACTTCATAACCTTAATAACAAGATTTATATCCTAATTAATAACAATTTATTAGCAAATAACAATTTTCACCTACTATGTGATACACATCATAACAATATTTCTTTAGGTATTAACAATAGTCCATTAGCAAATTATAACTATCAACTGCTAAATTTTAACTACTTACATTTCTCCATCATTCATTGCTCCACCTTCCTGGTCGTTCATTTTTGTTATATACAAATGAGCACTGCTACTATTATATCTAAACATATTGGAAATATCACCTTCATCATCAGGATCAATGAATGTGCTGCCTCCAAACTTAACCGTGTACTTAATCTCACACCCTTTAACATCATTGTCTATCCACTATGATATTGTCCCCCTTAGTTCCTCAAGTGTTATCTCTTCTTTTATGTTACTTGCTCTCACACTCCTTCCAACGTATTTAATTTCACCTTCATTGTTTCCTTCAAAATCTTCACCAACATGGAACAAACAAAACAAATCCTTCCTAGAGCTTAATCCATTGTTACAATTTATTTTTCATGATAACCTAGAATAAGAATTTACATATAATAAACATATCATCTTCAATATAATTTTATTCAATCAAATGAATCATTTACATTGAGAAATCAAGACCAACTACCTTTTCTCTTTCCCACTTGACATTAGGGTTTTACAACTTTGACATTCAAAATGATAAGATCTTGATTCCCTCCCCGTACTGCACCACATGAAACTCCACAATCAAACTAACAATCGTTACCTACTTCCATTTTCCCTCCTCCACTCTACCATTCGTGACATTTGTAACCCATATCCATCGCAACGTAGCCCACAAAAATCACAGATCAACAATCTGACTATAAGGCCAAAAATTTTGAACCTCGAACCAACCAAAGCCTCCTCAAACTACATCTTCCATCATCAACTCCACCTCTCATTCTCGTCCATACCTATAACCCAGTGACCCACAATGCAACTCACCACATTGAAGAACAATATCACATTCCTCAGTCTTAGAGGGTAGAGAAGAAGAAGAGTTTAGTTAGAAGCATTACTCACTTGATTCTCAAGCTTGTGCAACGCAAACAATGTCTAATCTTCCTTCTCTAAAGGCTCTCCAACCATCAATATTTTGTCTCAGCCTTCATTAATGAATTTGAGTTACTGAGGGGTATTTCAATCTTTGAGGCATTATTTGCTAATTGCAATTTAAGACTAAGTCCCCTTGGCAATTTGACTTATTCAAGTGTCTTTCTTGTAATTTTGCTAATTCAGAGGTCTTTTGTTGTCATTTTTCCAAAATAGAAAGAATGCATTTATTTGGAAAAAAGCACACGTAGACGCTGACATAGTATAACCCCTTAGAAGGAGGGTGAGTATTTGGTTTTTCAGTTCAATTTTTTGTCATAACCAAAATAACTGAATAATTGAATAGAACGAATTTTAAACATCGAATTGAAACCGATTAACCAAACTAACTAAAATCAAATTAACAAAAATATTTCGATTCAGTTAACTAATTAACTAAAATATATAAATATGAAAAGTTATTTTAAATTAAAAGTAATAATAAAACACAATTATAAGTATTAATTAATAAATATTTCATCATTCAATGTGATTTATTATAATAATATTTGGTTTATTGAATATAAATATATTTGAAGAGTTCACATATATATTTATTAAATATAAATATATAATATATGTATTTTTGGTTTTTCAGTTATAACTGATTTTTTTTTATTAGCTAAACCGAACATCGAAACTGAATAGTTAAAAAAAATAAAAATTGAATATATAATAAAAACTAAAATAACCAAACCGAAAAACTAAAATTAAACTCGATTCAGTTCAGATTTTAGTTACGGTTGGATTTTGCTTATTCTTCCAAGAAGCGTGAATAACAATCTGCGGGAGTACTTCAGAAGAATCGACAGTTATCCAGAAACTGGATCATCGACATTCAACGAAATAAGTCCCCCGAAACTTCTGGAACTTTCCGTCCCCTACAAATACAGCCTTCCCATCTCGACCTCCTTCACCATTACATTGAAGCAGAAAAACAATTCCGAAAGCAATTCAGAATCCGAAAGTTAGGCCATTTACATCATAATGAGTACTCCGTACTTCGGAAGTTATCGGAGCATGCCTTCTTCTTCTCCCCACTCGAAGCCAAGGGTCAGGGGAATTCCTGTGGCCACACCAAAACGGAAGGCATCTCCGAAGGTGGTTTCAATTCCAGTTCATTTTGTTGGGTCGGAGCGCAGTAGATCCGACTCCGCTCTCAAGATCCAGAAAGTTCTGAGAGGGTTCCTGGTGAGGAAGAACTTGAAGAAGATCGCCGCTATAAGCAATGAGGTCAACCAAATCGAGAGGAAGATTTCGGATCATGAGACGATCGATTTGATTCGCAGGAATTCCTGCGAGAGGTTAAGGATTAACGAGACTCTCATGAATTTGCTTCTTAGGTTGGACTCTGTTACCAGCGTCGACTTTGGTGTTAGAGGCTGCAGGAAGTCTGTAATAAAAAAGGCCATTGCGTTGCAGGAAAAGTTGGATTTAATCGCTGCCGCTGTTGATTCTCATGCTCAAGGTCAAGGTAGAGTTGAGGTTGCCGCATATACAAGTGCTGTGTCACAGGAGGTGAACTCGGATTTGCATGACAACGCAGGGGACTTCGATCGGGCGGAAGGAATTTCTGAGTTTCAATCTCCCGTGAAAGAAGACGATGAGATTATGGCTGATGATAGCGCTTCGGAGCTGCCTAACAATGTGGAGGCGATGCCCGTTTCTGTTCCTTCTGAAGGTCTACCCGATTTTGAGGTCATACCAGAAAATCCAGGACAGGAGGCTTCAACGCTTACTATCAACCCGCCTCTAGAAAGTGAGACGAAAACGGAAGCGAAGGAAAATGGATTGAAGGAAACTTCCAAGGATCAATTATTATACAATGACCGCGCGGGAACATGTCTCGCCGGCGAGCAGCCTGGGACTTGCGCAATTGCCGAAACAGCTTCGGTTAAAGAAGATAAGGAAATAAATTCATCACTGGAAGTTGACGGGAGGAATATGGTTGCACGTGAATCTGAAGCTGCAGTAAGAGATAATGGGAGAAAAGAGGAACAAAATAGAGACAGGGAGCTATTACAAAGAATGATTGAGGACAACGAAAGGATGATGGGGCTGATGGCAGAACTGTTCAAGAGGGATGAAATTCAAACAAGAATCCTGAGTTCGCTGTCTGAGAGAGTTAAGAAGCTGGAGAAAGCATATGCCTGGGAGAAGTTGAGGAAGAAAAAGAGGAATGCTGCTTCGGCTACTGATGGTTCCGACATATTGCCAGATATCAAGAAATGTGATAAGAAACAGTGAACCTTCGAAAGAAATTTGCTTGGTATCTTTTGGTCTTGTTTTGAATTCTGACATTCATTTGGTTTTGTTCGTATTACCGTTTCCAGTAAATTGGCCTACCTGTGAATTTTGTTAATGAATAGGAACTTTTTGAAAGCTTTTTTATCGCCTAAACTTCAGTTGTAGTTTTGAAAATTTGTTGTTTATCGCATTATTCGCATCCCTCTAATTTGATCGGTTAGCTTAATATGCGAGCCAAAAGAGGCGGAGCATGAAGCGAATCTTCCATTTAGATTTATTTTCAATCTTTGTTTAAAATATATACCATACTCGAAAGGGTATTAAATGTGTAGAATCAAACAATGGTTAATCTTTTACTTGAAGCGAGATTTCCTGGAAGGAGATAAGTATCTGAACGCAACTGTCAACTGTCCAAAATTTTATGCCATGTAATGGGACATGGAAAGAGACGAAAAGAAACAAATGTTCAATGATATTCAACATTTAATGGTCCAGAACATAACAATAGCATTCCATTCATAAAAAACTTGTCAACGGAGCATTTGCATAAAGCGGAGTTACAGGACTGCTTAATACGTCAAGTGGGTATGGAAGAGTTGTAAGGATGTGCCCCCCATGATCCACCCCAAATCAGATGAAGATAAAGAAATTTCTTTGGCAATAAGTTGCACGGCTTCTTTGGCTCCCTTGTACCCACATTCAGCAACAACAAAGGGAAAATCACTGCGCGTGCGCCCACACTAAGGTTAGATTCCAAAGGATAACGTTTCAAGGTTTTATTATACCTTAGATGAAGCACACAAGAAATGCCATACCTGCCCCACATCACACGGTTGGCGCCAAAGCTGGACACAACTTGGGATAACACAGGACACAGATCCAAATATGGGAACTGCGATCTTGACACTCTAAAAAGTGCACTAAATTTTACGTGTACCTATCAAAGTTTTACGAGACGTTTCAGAACAATGTGAGGATTTAAAGAATCCGATACAAAATAAATCGAATTATAGATTTAAGATATTCTAACAAATTCAGATCAGAGCCTCGAAGACAGCATCCTGCACTTTTCTTTCAAACAATATTTACAGCGATAGAGTATAAGTTCATTTGACCAATAAGTATAAGCAGAAATCAGGCACCTACTTGTGGGAATCTTGATAGATTCAGAAGCCTAGAGAAGACAAGACCTTCTTCATCGTTTCTGTAACATAACATTCAAATGAGAGTACATTTCTTGATCTCAAGAACAAAATATTTATAAGGTAGCTCACGTTGGAGGTTTGCAGAAGGCCAAGTGATCGAGCAGTACAACTGTTGATGGAAAATCTGCACATAGTTGCTCAATTTCTGAAATATGCTGATCAAGCCCCTGAAAGAATCCAAGTGATTATTACATACAGTTTAAACAGCCTCACGCCAAAAAGAAAACAGTCAAATACCAGATAGGAAATTTAGCAGTTCCATTATCCAACGGTAGAAATATTCTCACAGTAGAAAAGGAGGAATATTCTGCAAACCTAAGTATGCACATTACACAGGGGAAGAAACTTTACAAGAGAATTTTCCAGCGTTTCTAAGTTAGGGATATAGCAAACACCTTCATGCACATGAATCCCACCGGCACTTTGAGTTCTCCGGCTTTTGAAAACATAGCTTTTCCAATTTCATTGGTCATCTGCAGTGAAATTGAGCATGGCAATGATAATTATCAAAAGATGATAGACTTATAATTTAAATGACCCAAAAAAAAAAAAAAAAACCGCCATTACATTACAGTCCTTACAATTTGTGTTAATGATATGGTTCCTTTCTTGCTAAAGTAATTGATAATAGGTTGCAATTCTGGACAGCCTATTCTTATATGACGAGAGATGGATCCAAGATTTTATGGGGAAACAAAAATTGTACATGGTTAATATGTTTGTATAGAGAACAATTTTAAGCACCACTTATGCAGTATTTAGAATTAAAAAACAACTATCCATTTATCAGTTAAAACAAGTAAGAAAGAATGCAGAGAGGAGAAGCAACAAAAACCAAATCCTAAGATTTAAAAAAAAAAAATTTTATTTTCCTTTCTTATGCCTTAAACATACACCTAGAGAAGGTGAATAGGTATTTTTGCAAATTTAACAGAATAAAAGTGATTAACAGAAATATAATTTTAAAATAGGTAAATTATGGAACGAATACAGATCCTTCCATACAGAAAACATCAAATTTATAGAACTTAAATGAAAAAGACAGAGAATACAAAATTATGAATTTCTGGCACCACGTATGAATTATAGGCAGCTGAAAATTAAAATTCCATAAGCAAAGCTTTAGTAAGTAGAGAAAGGATTATCACACCAAGCGGTTCTAGCAAAACTTGATGTGACAGCCTGTCAACTGAGCATATACTTTAATTAGTCATCTTGGAGTGCTTGCTCAAAATGATTTTTGCTAGTGGAGACAAACGCCACTATTATTTACCACATCTAACAGAAAAGGTAGATTTTCTTCACTTTCCAAATAACATTCAAGTGACAAATAAAACCTTGTTGACAAATTAAAAGTGAGATAGAGAGGGAGTGGGACAGAGAGAGAAAAGCTTAAGCATTGACATCTAACATGAAACTTGAATAGACACATGCAAATAGAGAGAGGTAGAGAAGGGAGAGTATACCTTTTCTCCAGATGGCCACAGGTAAGGGTTAAATCGTACAGCACGATAGCCATCCTAGCAGAAATGAAATGAAAACTTCAGCAGTTTCTCTCAAACATAATCACTTAGTCCAATATAAAGTGCATATCTCTTAATACCTGCAAAACAAGGTGTTCAAACTGCTTAATGCCACTACCATCGCCAGCTGGATTCGCAAGGCAACAACCAACGAATTTGGTTGGGTATTTCTTCAGTACACTGTCCGACAAAAATAGTTGGGATGAGACAGACCATGACACACGTATTGTAGGTGTCTGAAGTTGAATACCATGAACCACATGTGCAATTGTGTCAAAATAGAAAACTCTACTCCACTACTTAATCATTCAGCTCAATGTCTAGCTAATTTAATTGAAAAACTACTAACTTGATGATGTGCAGCTCAAAACGCACACAAAAGAGTGCAATTACACATCTCATGGTTGACTGTTATTTACCGCTGTCTGAAAAATCCCTAGCGGAGGGAAAATATATAATCTCTTTCTTATCAACGAGGCTCCTCTCTAAGCAGGAAGCACTTGACATATATATAACTAGAAATGTACCTTCCTTTTAGCAATTGATTTAGGAAATAAACAATAAAGGGTATAAATCAAAACCATATATTTAGAATTGAAAAGCATTATTAGATGAATTAAATTAGAGTTTCTATTGTACACCCCAAAAAAAAAAAAGAGTTTCTATTGTGAAATTTATTTGAAAATCCATTGGGGACAACTTTTAATTATTAAGTACTTTTCAAGAAATCAATTATTTACCATTAAAATTCATCTTCTAGGCCTGCATAATAGTATATCCAAGATGTCAAAATACGCTGGCTGCTCACATTTTTTTATGAAGATGCATCATAACTTAATATATTAACATGTGGGTGTGTTTTATTGGTGAAGGTGCTACATATTTTGAAAATTTCCAATGTGAAATAACCAGCCTAGAGTTTTCACCCTGTGTCCCAAAAAACTACATAAGAATTTAGTTTGTTGCTACATGCACCCCCAATATTTTGTTCAATTCTGGTACAGCATACTACTCGGACCATAACATAGTGATTCTCCAAGCCCACAAAACTCATGTTGATCTCAGCTTTGTTGCATCATCATGTTTTGTGAGTTCTATATCACAAATCAACACACACACACTCTCTCTCTCTCTCTCTCTCTCTCTCTCTCTCAAACATGTAATGTCAAACACCAGATCCTATGGTTTTGACCAAAAATAAAGCTATCAATACCTTTGAAGTCTTTCAAATCATAAATTGAAGATCAACAGTTTACGGTGGATAAATGCCGAGTCAGTGTCATGTTGTTACTATACAATTAGATTTTGTGAAGGAATCGATGCATTTTTATATCCATGTTTTCCAACACTAGGAAAACGTGTTATGAAGTGGAGGTCGGTGTAAGTTGCCCTGTCTAAGATCTACAATTTTTTAGTATTTCTAACATAGTGGAGACCCTTTCTTCTTTGTTAATTATAAAACCACTTGACTGCCATTTTACGTGTCTATATAAAATACTTTACTGCTCTTTTTACATGTCCATATAAAAATTATATTCCTGCAGTAATGGACCATTGAAATTTCAAGAAATTTGTACCTTTTATTCTCTTTCTATACCCTAAACTACTTTACTGCTATTTTCACATGTCCATATAAAAGTTATATTCCTGCAGTAATGAACCATTGAAATTTCAAGAAATTTTTACCTATTCTTCTCTTTCTATACCATAATCTCTTCTTTCACCAATTGACTATTGTTCCGTTTCATTTCAAATACATCAGTGAGAACCCTATATTTCCAAATCTGAAGGTTACACACATTTAGGTCATGAAAATCACATCACAACTAGACATTACGTCCACACCAATTTTAATATCAGCATTGCCTGGAAGATATAAAAGCACTAATTTTTCTTACACCAGGCAATAAATATTTGAAAATACCTTGTAACTAAACTATGATCAAACTTGTGATTGATTGGCTGCACGATGAGTGCACCATCTACCCCTGCTTCCTCCATGCACTGTGGAAAAATGAGTTCACACATACCATATTAAAACATAAATAGTTATGTACAAAGATACGAGTCAATTAAAATAAATGTACAAACAAGGGTATAATATTCATTGTTATAATTGTTTATGCAAACGTTGATGCTTCCAAAACATGGGAGTAGCTCCATTCAGGGTTAAGCAGGAAGTGAACAGATACTATCCGGTCATGTAAAAGGGATACCAACATAGAAGCTCAATCAACTCAAGTGGGGATGTTTAAAAACCAAAAACAAAAGGAGGCCCAAGAAATTTTTCAAAGCAGAGGAGAAATCAGACCACACATAGTTGCAGTGAGGATATTAATACTCCGAGTCAAGAAAATGAAGGCATCCTATACGATATAAAATCCAATCAATTTCCAAATTCCTGCCATTGGGACCACACGAGGATTGCATTGCAGAAGGGATGAAGGTCAGAAGAAAATATAAGAGCGAGGTATCTATCTATCTACAAAGCGTTACAGCGAAGCTGCATCGTCCCGAAAATATTTAGAATTCAAAAGAGGCGTACCTGTAGCAAAAAATCGACATGTCCGGGTAAAGTGGGTTCTTGACCAGGAAAGTAAGGGAATTTACTCGCAGCCTTCGAAAACAGGGGGAAAAAGCTATGAGCATCATCTGTTTAGTAATTTGATTATATAACTTTCAAGCAGACAAAAAAGACAATCCGAAAAAGTATAAAAAGGGCGACATTGAGGCTTCGCCAGCACTACAAATTTCATTGAGAAATTTGCCGTTGATAGTTACCTCTTGCGGAGACGCCCAAACATGGAGATGGGAGTCTATAATCTTGAAGCATGAGGGGGTTTTGCTTTCTGATTCACTTGCGGCCATTTTTCCTGCAGAAACTCTTAAAGGGGCTCTCCTCGAACAGAAGTGACCACATCGCAAGCCACTACGGAGGTGGTAAGCATGGCTCGAACGGATGAGCGATGGCAAGGCAGTCAGTCTCAGCGCCATGTGGACTCGGATAAATTACAAAATTTTTAATCCTATTTTTTAATAGATTGTAATAGATTTTGGGTATGAAATTTTTAAATGTTGGTGATTTTATAATATTGTCCCTTGTAATAAAATCATCAGCATTTCAAAATTTCGTTTGGTCAAAGGTATTAATTTGGGATTTTGCACATTGGTGACACCATTTTGAAATTATTGTAAAATCATTATCATTTCAAAATTCTATTTTGATCATGAGTATTCTGTTTTTTTTTTTTGGCCAATGGGGTTTATGAGTATTAATTTAGGATTTTGCAAATTGGTGACCAATTCGGAATCATAAATTTCAAATGGTATTTTTTTGGGAAATTTCACTGTAGGACCGCAGAAGACAAATAATTTCAAAGAGCCCCTAAAACATTCTGAAATCTCACTGCAGGACCAAGGGGGCAATCTGATATTAATTCCACAAGCGAAATGACGCCACTGCCCCTAATGAAGACTTATTTCCTCCGAAAATGAGACATATTATCAGCGGGTGTAAAAGACGGAAGAAAGACGGAAAGGGAGGAGATGGCGTTATTTCCTGCCTCTCCCATGCAGCGCGCCGGTGCGGAAGGGAGATAGCTGACAACCATGAGCTGAGAAAACGCAGTGGCGGAGCTTCACTTTTGCGGTCCGTCCCTCCGCCGTCTTTCGGACTCCAAGCTAGAGTTGGTGCAAGAGAGAGAAGTCGCAAGTGTGCCCTACAGTGTTGCGTGTTCTCTGGAAGTAGCGTCAGGTTGGCGTGGGAGGTAAGATTTTGTTGTTAAAATTTTGGTTTTGTTGGTGTGATTTGGTTAGCACAGGTGGGTTGTGATGGGTGAATGAGGAAGAAATGAGTATTTAAGTGCATGGGCATGTAGGTTGGGAGTGAGTTGCAAATCTTACGGTTTTATGGTTTAAGAAATTCATGCTGATGCTGTTTTAAGTTGTTAAAGATGTGGTGTTTGTGATGTTTTGAAAAGTGGGTGCATATTGAGAATAATGCACTGCTGAAGGAACATAGGTAGGCGAAAAAGAAAGGGAAATGGGTGTGTGGCCTGGAATGGGTTATATGACAGGTAGACGCGCAGAGGAATGGTGAAAATACATAGTACGATGGTAAATTTGGTAATTCTGGTTGTGTGCGAGAAAAAGCAATATAATGTTGTGAAAATACTAATTCTTGTTGTCAATTGTCAAATTGCTGATGTAAACGTACGTTGTGTCATACTTGAATGATGTGCAGCAGCAGAGGATAAATGGCTAGCAGTAGTAGGAAACAAGTATTTTGCATCTTTCATGTTAGAGGGCACTTTGTAAAGACCTCAGAAGGGAAATTCATTTATGAAGGGGGCATCATTACTGGAAGATTGATTAGAGAAGGGATGACATATGAAGAACTACAATGCATGGTAGCTCATGATGTGTGGCCAGGGACTCGTGAATATAAAATGAAGTACACAGTTAGCTTTGACCGGGATACATTCTTGGATCTTGTTGACGATATTGGTGTTGGACAAGTAATTGAGTACAACAATAGTAGTGGCCATGTTTATGTTTGTGAGAATGAGAAAGACTTCACACAAGTGTCACAGCTGGATAGTGTACAAGAGTAAGTTGTTCTCAACTGGTTTTATTAAGATTGTGTGTAGGATAAGAAAGAATATGTCCAATTTTGATAAATTGAACTGTAATACTGAATAGCTGTATTTGTTTATGCAGGTTAGATGATTTGGTTGGCCCTTGTGGAATGTCAGTATCTGCAATGGAATTGGATCTAGACACAGACAACATAAACATATCTTCCGTACAAGATGTGCCAACACTGATAGGAAGTGTAGGTATGGAAACGTTGCCAACCCCAATAGCGGTGATGAATTCATCAAAGTGGGTAGATTTGTTGATGTCAAGAGGGCAAACCTTTGTTAGTGCTGAACATTTTAGAGAGGCATTATATAAGTATAGCCTTGCACACAAGTTTGGTTACCGATACGTAAAGAATGATAGGCATAAGATGATTGTGAAGTGCTGTGTAGATGGTTGTCCCTGGGAAATTTCAGCATATGGTGTAGGTGAGAATAATGGATTCCTAGTTGTGAGAAGATTTAACTATGAACACTTGCATTATGCACAAGACAACTTAGTTGTCCCTCAGAGAAAGAGGTGCAAACTTGCTTCAGCAGTCATAATAGATGAGTTGATTTCTTGCATGCACAAAGCTCCAAATGACATTAGACGGGATTTGGAAAGAGAGTATGGGTTGAGGCTCAACTACCAACAAGCATATAGGGCGAAAGAGAAAGCATTGGCAAAAATTCATGGTTGTCCGCAGGAGTCTTATATGCTAATCCCTTGGATATGTGAAAGGCTGAAGGAAAGTGATCCAGAAACGGTAGCAAAGTGGGTTGCATCATCAGATAATAGATTTCAAGCTGTATTTATTGCATACGGTTGCTGTGTAGAAGGGTTTTTGAAAGGTGGCAGACCTGTATTATATGTGGATGGATGCCACTTGAGTGGTCCGTACAAAGGAACGTTATTGGGAGCACAAGCATATGACGCGGATAATGAATTATTCCCACTTGCATATGCGATTGTTGGAGGTGAGACGCTTGATGACTGGGCATGGTTTCTTGGTAACATAAAGGATATTACGGGCTCATTAGAAGTGACAATAGTATCGGATAGACACAACTCAATAAAAGGTGCAGTGCAAGCCGTGTTTGGAGGAGATCGACATGCTTTTTGCTATCGTCATGTGAAGGAGAATTACAGTGCTGAGTTTTTGAAGATAACCAGGGGAAAGAGGAGGACCAGCGGACAGACAAAGGAAGTTGCACTAAAATTACTCGATTGTATTGCATACACAAGATTTGATAGAGACTTTGATTGCAGTATGGAAAAGCTAATGGCATTTTGTCCAGAATTAGGACAATGGCTTCAAACAAATGGAGACATTGAGTGTTGGGCACAAAGCAAATTTCCTTACAAGAGGTGGGACAATATCACAACAAATCTAGCCGAATCCTTTAATGCTTGGCTTGTTGGTGAGAGGAAGCACAACATAGTTGTCTTGATACATGAGCACAGGGAAAAATTGGCAAACAAGATGTACCACAACAAAGAAGCCATGACGAATTGGAGCAATGGTGTGGGACCTAATATAGAGGAAAAGTTGATGGATCATGTGGCCAGATCAGAAAGAATGGATGTGCAAAATTATGGAATGAACAATTTCAGGGTCAGATGGGCAAACCTAGATGTGCGGGTAAATCTTGTGTTACGTGAATGCACCTGCAAAGGTTGGCAAATGTCAGGACTACCTTGCCCACATGCATGTGCTGCAATCAAGAAGGTATATGGTAATATATATATGCATATGTCGAGGATTGCTTTTTACTATCAGCCCAAAAGAAAATTTATAGCAGACTCATGATTCCAGTTGAGACCCATGACATCCCTAGGCCAAATTCCCTTCGATATGAAGATTACTCGTCCACCATCTTCCTACAACCACCATTGACAACTCGGCGTGCTGGAAGACCCAGAGGTAGGAGGATTGAATCACAATTCCAGCAGAAGAAAGCGTATCATTGCTCAGGATGTGGTGAAGCTGGTCACACTAGAAAGATTTGCACTAACCCGAACCCTGGGTGACTTTGTTGCTCAAAATGGTCTTTTATTTTTTTGGTTCAACACACAGCTACTTTTGTACATAAATGAGCCCCACTATGTAGTTGTTGAGTTGTTGGGGAAGTAGCTATGACAACCCATTTTGATTTTTTGGTGGTGGGTTCGATTATATTTTGTATAGTGGTGTCAATAGTTGAAAAATTTCATGACAGTAGGTGACTATAGCTGTCGCAGGATATGTTAGGCTGTAATCTGTCCACATGCGAATGGACTATTTTTAGTTGTAAATATTTGTATGTATGTTGCAAATTGTGTAATGTCACTTGCAAACGGAGATTCCCCTGCCTGTCCACTGACGGACAGCTTCTTCGGGTGAAGGTCGTCATATGTAAATGGACTGATTACAGTTGTGAATATATATATGTATGTTGTCAATTGTCTAATGTCACTTGCAAATGGTATACGAAACCATACTTGGACAGCTTCTCCAGGTGAATCAGTCCGCATGCAAATGGACTATTTTTAGTTGTAAATATTTGTATGTATGTTGCAAATTGTGTAATGTCACTTGCAAACGGAGATTCCCCTGCCTGTCCACTGACAGACAGCTTCTTCGGGTGAAGGTCGTCATATGTAAATGGACTGATTACAGTTGTGAATATATATGTATGTTGCCAATTGTCTAATGTCACTTGCAAATGGTATACGAAACCATACTTGGACAGCTTCTCCAGGTGAATCAGTCCGCATGCAAATGGACTATTTTTAGTTGTAAATATTTGTATGTATGTTGCAAATTGTCTAATCTCACTTGTAAATGGGCCCTTGCACACCTGTTCACCCACGGACACCTCCTTCAGTACGAGTAGGTCAGATGCAAATGGATTATTTATAGTTGTGAAAATATGCATGTATGGTGCGAATTGTCTAGTCCCACTTGTAAATGGGCTGTACCACACTTAAGTAAGACGCATGCATCAGGTGAATCAGTCCACATGTGAAACCAAGTATGTGTCTTGCAAATTAGCTAGCCCCCCTTGCCAATATGAATGGACGGATTCCACGTGTGAATATAGGTATGTATTTTAAAAATAGGCTAGTTCCCCTTGCAAATGCGCTCTCCCGCACTTGTTCCCTCACGGACAATGCTTCAGCTGGACCAGTCGACATGTGAACGGACTGATTCCACGTGTGAATATCGGTATGTGTTGTGCAAATTGGCTAGTTTCCCTTGCAAATGCGCACTCTGTTCAGGTCAAGGACAGCACATGTAAATGGACTGATTACAGTTGTGAATATATGTATCGGAGTAGCAAATTCCCTAGTTCCTCATGGAAATGGACACCTTATTCAGGTGAAGG